AGATGCTCTGCTGGAGAAGGAGGGGCAATCTCCTCCTGTACCAGTCAGATCTGATTTGTCACTACACATACACAAAATAATAAATTTTTTTAAAAAAATTTTTATTAGGGAGCTCTGGTGGCCTAGTGGCAAGATGCTGCACTGCAATCCCAGAGGTACATGGTTCAAATCCACCAGATGCTTTGCTGGAGAAGGAGGGGGCAATCTCTTCCTGTACCAGTCAGATCTGATTTGACGGTACACGTAAAAATAATATAATAAAAATTTTTTAAAAATTGCTGAACATCCTAGTAATGCCAGTAGCATTTCAAGTTATCAGACAAAGGCAGATTTCAAAAAAGTGTAGGCTCAATTAAAAAGCCTAGAAAATAATAGAAATGAGTGCATGAACCTTAGCATTTCTGATTTATCACCAACATAGGCAGCAGCATTTAAAGGAGGAAAGCAGGACTCAATCATTCCCATTTGCCAGGGGTCCAACAGAATAAACACTATTTTCTTAGGAATCAAAATAAACAATTGTGAATTTTACAGACAGATCATTTCTAGACATGCCTGGAGAAGTAAAAATAGCAGCTTAATGTTTTGTGGTTAAGATCAAGCTACTGCTATTACTGTGTGCCATCAGTAAAAACCAACTTGGAAGATCTACAGACAAGGAGCACTAGCCCACCAGGTTCCCCAGGCTGTAATCTTCATGGGAGCAGGTTGCCACATGTTTTGAAATCTGGTGGGTCCAAACAGCCAACTTCTGGTTAAATGCCAAATGCTTAGCCATCATATCACCAGGCCTCCTTTTGTGAAGCTACCTTGTGAAATGTGATCATTCAATAACCTGACTAATAAGTAATATTAGCCTTGGGATAAATCACCATAACTTTCCTACAGACCAGTTTTTGCTCATGAAAGCCATTTGCTTTTGTTTAATATTTAAAATTTTACAATTATTTTTATTTTGGCTGGTAGAATAATTTACACTAACAAAACTACAGCACTATTAATGTCATACCTATTTCCGCCAATAGAACCTCTGCAGTATGCCTGTGAGCTGTCCCTTGATACACAAGGCCAATGCCAACCACAGCAGCCACCTGGACATTGTGGGGGACATCAAGTTCTGTGGAAGTCGGGGGTAGGAGGGCAGGAATGTGGATACTAAGAAGTCGAGTACTGGACATGTCCATGGTGCCTAGTTTAGCAGCAGAAACACCAAGCAGCAGCCCGATGCTTGTCATTTCATGGCCCTAGGAAAGAAGCAGAATGACATTGTAAAGTTACTACCAAAATAAATACGTAGTTTTACATAAAACATTCTGCCATTTTCAGTAAGGCACCTAGTATACAATGGTACACTAAAGAGGCATATTCCTCATTACCATGCAGTTAGTGCCTTAACAAAAACATACCAATACATTCTTGTTGTGTATAGTCAAGTTGAAACCGAATCATAGTTGACCCTCCAACAGGTTTTCAGAGCCAGTTAATCACACAGGAAGAGACTGCCCATCCTTCTCCCGCAGAGCAGCTGGTAGCCTCGAACCATGTGCCTTCAAGACTGCAGTGTAGCTTCTTGCCACTAGACCACCAGTGCTCCGTACAAATACATTATTAAAAATAATATTGTATATGCAGCGCTATTCAAACAAGTGCCAAATTCAGAAACCACCTGGATGCTCATTCATCAACATATGAATGGATGAACAAAATGCAGGATAATCACAACAAAATATTTATTCAGTCATAAAAAGAGTGAAGTTCTGACATATGCTACAACATTGATAAACCTTGAAAACATCATGCTAAGTGGAGTAAGCCAGACCAAGAACAAAACAAAAAGACAAATTCTGTAGGATCCTCTTATATAAAACATCTAGAAAAGGTACACAAAGAGAGACAAAAACATATCAGTAGCTATCAGCATCCAGTGCAGCAAGGAAGGAAACGGCAGTTACTTCTGTAGACATCCGGGGGAAAAGACAGGCAATCTCCTCCCATATGATTTACAGCCTCTGAATTATAAGTTATGAGTCCATTCTGCATCCATGACACTCAGTTTGAGGGGTCTGTATGAGGTCTGGAAATTTTGTTTACTTTTTGCTAAGAAGGTACTGAGTTTATGTACAGGGTAGTAAAAACATTTGCAAATGGATAATGGAAATGATGGCACTGAACTGTATATTGTGAAATGGTTAAAAGGGTAAATTTTTTATATATGTATTTTGTCACAATTTATCTTAAAGTACTAGAATACAAACAAAATATTATTACAGAAAATATCCAATCTGAACTCAGTGTCAAAGAGAGGAACTGATTCATGCTGACCCCCAGAGGGTTCTGGAAGCTGTAAATTGCACAGGGGATCACCCCTCTTTCTCCTGTGCTAGATTAGAAGTACCAGTGGGGCGTGGCATTCAGGAGAGCAGTGCTATGGTGCTTCAACAATGGCTGCTGTTGATGTTATGTGCTGTCAAGTCCATAGCTATTCTATGAACAACAGATCTCATCTCTGTCCTTTTCTGTGCCATCCTCATCACTGCTTAAGTCACTGTGACAATCTGCCTCATTCATCTCCTTCACTGATCATACACCTTTCCAGCATGATGTCCCTTCCAAGGAATAGCGTCTTCTAGCAATATGCACAAAGTGTGTGAGATGCAGTTTCACCATCCTTGCATCCAAGGAACATTCTGGTTTCACTTTCTCTAAGATCTGTTTGTTCTTTTGGCAGTCCATGGGACACTCAGCACTCTTCTCCAACACACAACTCAAAGGCATCATTTCTTCTGTCATCCTTATTCACTGTCCAGCTCTCAGATGCATAGCAGGTTAATGGAAAGACTATGGCTTGAATCAGGCACACTTTATCTGTAGGCTGACATTATTGCTCTTCAAGGTTTTGGAGAGGTCCCTGACAGCAGACTTTCCCAATGCAATATATCTCCTGACTGCTGTTACCAAGGTATTGACTGTGAATCCAAGCAAGACAAAACTTCTGACAATTTTAATCTTCTATCTCCATCTATCATAATGCTGCCCATTGGCCCAGTGGTGAGGAGTTTAGTTTTCTGGATATTGAAATGTAATACATAATGAAGCTGTAGTAATTGATCCTCTGTAGCAAGTGCTTCAAATCCTCCTCACTTTTAGTAAGTTAAGACTGTGTCACGTGATTAACAGAGGTTTTTGATGAGGCTTCCTCTAATCATGCCACACTCTATTTTATAAAGTCCAGGGTCTTAAAGGATTTTCTCAGAATACAGACTGAATAGGTATGAAGAAAGAATACAGCCCTGATGCACACTTTTCTAATTCCAAACCATACAGTGTTCCCTTGATGTGTTTAGACAACAGCTTCTTGCTCTAGGTATAGGTTTCATATTAGCATAAATATGTGCTCTGGAATTCCCACTCTTCTCACTGCTAGCCATCCACAAAGTGAAATCCCTTTTCACCCTCTGCATAATAAAATGCAAATCAAAACCAAATGACAACTCATGTCATACCCTTGAGGATGACTATTAAGCCCACAGGTAACACAAATGGTTAAGTACTGGATAACTAGCCAAAAGGATGCCATTTTAATATCACCTATGGAAGGCAGGCTTGGTGAGATGACTCGCAAAAGTCACAGCCTTCAAAGTCCTATGCAGCACACAGTGCTAACCTGAGATGTATGGGGGTGGGAGCCACCAATTAGGAGCAAATGGACGGCAAGCAGCAACCACCACAGAATAGCTACAACTAAAGAGATGGAAAACACCAAGTATTGGCAATGATGTGGAGAAATAAGAGCATTCATCGATTGTTGTTAGAAGATTAAAATGTAGAATCACTTTTTAAAACAGTTTGACAGGTCATAAAAAACTTCAGCTAATTTACCACGTGGTCCATCAATTCCACTCCTAGGTATCAAAGGAAATAAAAACAAGCATCCACATAAAGATTAGCAGAGAATGCTCATAACAGTATAATTCACAATAGCTAAAAAGAGCAAATAGCCCAAATTCTATCAAGTATGATAACTAAAACATGGTATATTTATACAATATTATTTGATAATAAAAAGGAATAAAGTATTGATAGATGCTAGAACACCAAGGATATTTGGAAACTTGTGCCATGTGAAAGAAGCAAGTCACCGCAACAACAGACGGCATGACTGTGTTATACACATGGTCAAAACTACGCAAATCTAGAGATGAAAAATGGCTACATGCTAGAAAGTTCCTTTAGAAAGTGATGAAAGCATTCTACAATTTAGTGTGGGAATGGATAGAACACTAGTGAGAATCCTAAATCTTCTGCATTTTATACTTTAAATCATTAATTACATAGCATATGAATTATATCTCAATCTATTAAAAAATATATCCGCCAAAGCTTTGAAATGACTGAGTGTGAATTTGCCAAGAGGTGAAAATGGCTAAGCAATGTGCTTTGAGTGTGAGGAGCATGTTAAGAACAAAACAAAGAAACTCCATATAAGTGGGTATGTTCCTAGAACACTAAAGACAGTAAAGGTTAGTAAACCATTTTCAGCAGTCAAGTGGTCAAGTGACATATTAGGATTTACACCTCTGAAAGATCATATTCTTGCCTCGTGTGGGGAGAGGTTTATCAGTACAAAGACGAATAAAGAAGAGTAAGTTGTCCAGTTAGAAGCAACTGCAATAGTTCAGGTGAAGCACAATACCAAGGAGGAGTGTGAGTTCTCACCTTGGTCAAGTAATCATGAATGTTAAGAGTGGCCAGCTTGGTGAGGTGCCCACTCAGACCCAGGGCCATGAGGAAGCCAGCATACTCATTGGCTAACTCAGCATGCTTAGGCTTATTGTAAACAATCCAGGCAGAGTCAATTTGGGAGGCAGGTGCAATCTTCAGGCCAGCAGCCACACCATTATGGAAGCTGGCCCAGCTTGTCATATTGGGAGGCACATCGATGTTTCCACTGTTAAGATCCACTGTTGTGTTCCGAGGAGGGGCCCGCCCTAGGCAGTCAAATAAAATTTAACATTAAGACTGAAAATTCACAACACTAAACTGGTACATTTACAACTTCAATGACAAAACTTTAACCTACAAATACCAGGAATGGTGTCAAATTTCTATAAGTACTTCAACTTTTAAACTTCTGAAACAAATTTGATGCAAGGTAGAAAAAAAACACAATCATTTAAAATATTGTTTGTCCTTTTACCAAAATGTGAGACTGTATATAAAAAGATACCAATTTAAATGTGTTTACATCTCTATACACACACTGCTACACTCTAATTTTACCCACACTGTCCTGACTCATAGCTGGCCCTGCAGCAGATTTTCTGCAGAGGAGAGTTTGTCTATCTTTGTCCCTCAGAACACCTAGTGGATTCAAACCAGCTGCCTTAGTTGACAAGGCAACTCTTTACCCATCATGTGGCTAAAGAGAGAAATGCACAGACACACACACACGATTACTGCTTTGAAATCGAACTTTCTACCTTTTTTCTAAGAATAAGAAGCTTAATTAGAAACTAAAGTTAAAGTTAACATCACAATTAATCACATGAATCTAAATTCTAACATGAGATTAATTAGACTGTTAGGGTTTTCAAATACATTTTTCCTATTTTTGCAGACAGTATCTCTGTACAATAAATAAATATAACACTTTATAACAGAGACAAGAAATTTTATAAATCTGCTCTACAACTTCATCTATCTAATTATGTGCCATGTATAAAAGCACTGGAGTGCATTCAGGAAGATATATCCTTAGCCTTGAATTATCCAGTGAACCCAAAAAGAGGATGCACTTAATTTAGTTTTACAGACAACTTAAAAGCAATATAAAGTAAATGTTCTGATGCTTTGTTCTCTTTTGAGTTCTTTTGGTTAATAATTTATTGGGTATAGAGAAAAACATTAAATTCCTTTCTTACTCTAAATATTCTTCATTAACTCATTAATTGATGGATGAATACTTAAAATAAGTATTCTAATTGTTACATGAAGTTATCCAGTTCAGCAAAGGTTTGAAAACGTGGTTTTAAAAGTTATGTAAGAAAGCTCTGGTGGCCTAGTGGCAAGAAGCTGTGCTGCAAACCCTAATGTATGCGTGGTTCAAATCCAAGAGACGCTCCCTCCGCTGGAGAAGGAGGAACAACCTCCTGCTGTTCCAGTTGGATCCGACTGGACCATACACAACAAAGGGGTGGGGGGAGAAATATTTTTAAAAAAGTTATGTAAAACAAATTTTTAAGGAGATACTTAATGTCTTATTTGTACTGTGTATGTTATATAGATATTTGTATATATGCAAAAAACACAAGCAAAAAAAGGTATGATTTTTATAATTTGCACTGCATAATTAAAAAATGTAATCTTTCTAAACATTCATTAGCTATATGCGTAAGACAGAATAATGAGAAGCAAAGAGGTAAAGCAACTACATTTTGAAAGCTAGGAACTTAAAATATTGTGGAATTATGCTTGGGATGTTATTAGCTAGTAAGTGAGCTCTGGTGGTAAGAAGCTGCGCTGCCAACCTGAAGGCCGGTGGTTCCAATCCACCAGCTGCTCTGCAGAAGGATAGACAATCTACTTCTCTGTGATTTACTGCTTCTGAAAACTCACCAGAGGGTCAGGTATGGATCGGTTCTGACTTCACAGTAAATGACAACAACATATTAGATACCAAGTATTACTTGACACAAGTTTTATAGGAGTCTTTATATATGAAACTACTACATACAATACATTCAAATTAGTCTAAGATGAAAATAGATTCTAAAATCCAGAATAAATAAAATAAAACCAAGAATACTGGGAAATGGGTAAGCTTATATTTGGAAAAAATAATAACTTACATAACCAACTACAAAGGCAAAACTTTGGCAACACATTATGGCAAAGTTTCAAAGGCATTCATCTTGCTAGTCTAACCCTGAATCCTAAATACATAGGGTGATATGCCCAACAATGTTCTTTTGTTATCATAACAGCAAAAATTTAACACTATTCAACAGTGCAACGTTACTAACATAAATATAGCAAATTCATTGAACAAAATACTGAGTTCAATAAAAAGGAAATTGTTGATTTAAAATATGCATATGTAATAAATATATACAGATATACATGTTTGTATACCTATATAGTTTAGCTATGAAAAGTTGTTTGCTAAATACTTAATCTTGAAAATTTTTAAATATAAGTTTAAATTTTATCAATTATAACTATGTAGATGTAAAATTGGGAAAACAAAGACAAAACTGTTAAAAGCGACGAGCTCTGGAAAACAGGGTTATTATATCCTCTCCCTTTGCTTAGTTCATATGTTTGCCTCATGATCAAGTATTCATAATGAGGCAAAACATTCTAAATAATTTTATAAGGTTATCTAAAGTTAAATAATTTCTGCCTTTTACATATTCTCTTCCTGCAATTTAACAAGTGACATTTAGACCTTGAAACAGTCTCAGCATTATAAACTAGAAAATCGTGGTTTACTTCACTCACTATGTGTTAGATTTATTATCTGATTTTAGTAAACTACTGAAATAGCTATTAGCAATATTTAAAAATCATGGAATAGAAGCATTCACTCTTTAAATAAATTCAAAAGATCTCTATTAGACATGCACTCTTCATTTTCTTTTCTTATTGAGCCCAGATTTTAACATACCAGTAAGATTCAATTTAGGAATTGGTAATGGTTCTGTTGGAACTGGATGATATGAAAATAAGGTAAACATCCCTCTTCCTACTGGGAGGGCCATAGTTCGCTGACACAACTGGAGCAATCTATAATTAAAATTAAAATCAACAAGAGGAAATGTTTAAAGTCAAAAAATTGGAAGAAATGTAATCTCTAGGCCAGTAATTTAAAAAACACTGCTTTTTAAGATGAAGTAACCTCAAAGTACATCCACACAATGATGCAAGTGTCCCGTCTAAACACAGCTCTTGTGTTAACACTCTTGCTTCCATTAATAATAAAAGAACTATTTCCTTTGCTTTGTTTCATATTGGCTTTGAATACAAACCAGCAGATCTATAAAATAAGTCAATTTCCCTAGTTACCTAAAAAGAGAAATATAAAGTGGCATCCACTTCCGTAAATAGCTTGCCTCAGGAAACCCTACGAACATGGAGAAAGGATGAAAGTCACGCAACTGTCGAGCACTTTCGTTCACAGGTCACTATGAGTCACCTACGACTTGATGGCACTTAACAATAAACAACAGCAATTGAGAATCATCTTCCCAAAGAAAAATGTACTTTTTGTGGTGTCATTCTGTATTCCTGAGTCTAGTTCCCTCAGCAGATATTCCCTCCTCACCAGGACAAGCTCTGAGATGTCACCTCTACTATTTACATGTAAGTAAAGTCTGACACAGGAGGACAACTTCATGTGTCGCCTGGAGAAATGCAGTATCAGTCTGATGAAATATTCTGGTACACGATGGTTAAGTTTTTATAGTATTGGTGATTCAGAAGTAAGGGTCATAAATTAAAAAAAAAAGGAAGTAAGGGGTTGCACTGCCAACACAAAGGCATGCACTTCAAATCTACCAGCTGCGCCATTACAAAAAGATGGGTAATCTACTCCTGTGCAATTCTGGGTTTGTGGCACAAGTTCCTTGAGACGAGACCATTAGTCTCTTAAGAAAAAAAATGTTTTGGAATTGAGAGCATTTGTAACTAAGAAAAAACTCACACAAGTTCTTCCGAAGGCACAGAGGCTGACAAAAGTTTACATTTTTTCTTCAGAAGCTAAAAACAAGTTACTTTTTTTTCAAGTTAGCTCCCACCCTAACTATGCACACATTATCGTCTTTTCTAGCTCATTAGAGAGGAAACTTACACTGTCCTAAAATTATTTAAGAATACTGCACAGTATTGCCAATTGGTCCAGTGGTGAGAATCTTTGTCTTCTTGACATTGAGCCTCAATCCATATTGCAGGCTGCAGTCCTTGACACTCTGCAGCAGGTGCTTCAGGTCCTCCTCCGTTTCAGCAAGCAGGGTTGTGTCATCCGCATAACGCAGACTGTTGATAAATCGTCCACCAATCCTGACCCCACATTTCTCCTCATAGAGCCCAGCCTCCCGGATAATCTGTTCTGCATATAGGTTGAAAAGGTATGGACAAAGATTCTCACCACTGGACCAATCGGCAGCATCAGGATGGATGGTGAAGAGATTGAGATTGTACACAGCTTTAGTTTGCTTGGCTCCATAGTCAAGTCTTGGCACCAGCAGCCAGGAAATTAAAAGGCTCATTACCATGGGAAAGTCTGCTGTTAGGGACCTCTCCAAAGTGCTGAAGAGCAGTGGTGTCTCTCTGGAGACTAAGATGCGTCTGATACAGGCCATAGTCTTCGCAATCACCTGTTATGCATCAGAGAGTTGGACAATGACCAAGGAGGATAGAAGGAGAACTGATGCCTTTGAGCTGTGGTGCTGGAGAAGAGTATTGAGAATACCATGGACTGCTAGGAAAACATACAGATTTGTCCTGGAGAGGGTTAAACCGGGTGGCTCCTTGGAGGCAAGGATTCTGAGGCTCCATCTAACTTACTTCGGACATGTAGTGAGGAGATACCGGTCCTTGGAGAGGGACATCATGCTTGGGAGGGTGGAGGGACGGCGCAGGAGAGGAAGGCCCTCTATGAGGTGGATTGATTCAGTGACTGGGATAATTGGGATGGGAGTGTCAGAGACAGTGCGATTGGCACAGGACAGAGACGGCACATAACAACAACAACAACAACAACAACAGCACAGTATTAATCTAGAATCAAATTAAAAGGCAGCAGGCTACATATTGCAGGATTTTTAGTAGATGTTGTTGTGTGCCGTCAAGTCGGAGCCAACCCATAGCTGACCCTCTGGGGGTTTTCAAAGGTAGTTTAATTGCATGGGAGGAAATTGCAGAGCACCTGGTAGATTTGAACTGCATGCTTTCAGGACTGCAGCACAGCTTCTTGCAACTAGGCCACCAGAGCTCCCAGTAGATGAATTACACATATTCCAATAAACCTTGTAAAAGTAAATGAACTCTAATAAAGATAGCAAAAATATTGTATTCCTTCAGTCTAAAATGCCACTGATTTTAATATCCCTAGTTATGCACTTGGCTGCTAACTAGAAGATTAAGGACACTAATCCAGCTATATCTGCCTTGGGAAAAGGTCACTTAAGTATCACTAACAAAAACCAAATCCTGAAAAACCTGAGGGCTCAAGAGTGCAACTCTGACACACATGGGATTGTTCGAATCAGAATCAACTCGATGGCAAAAGCATTAACAACATCAGGGCACATGCGGGGAAAAAAGTACCACAGGAAAATGACCAATGTTCAGGAACCCCAAGAACATTATCCACTGTCCATTATCATCCAGGCCACTCAGTTTCCGAACAGTCCTAAAGGACACAGTACAGATGCTCCATAGGTTTTCCAGGCAGTAAATAAATCTTCACTGACATATATGACCCCGTAGTTGAAGGGTTTACACCACATCTTTCAGTCAAGCAAGCTGAACACTGTAGCCACCAGGTTGCTCAGAAAAGGAAGAAGAACAAGAAAATACTGACTGAAGAATGTCAAGTCTAGATGATAAGACAATCATTTTAAAACACAAGTCAAAGTACTGTGAACCGGAACTTCACCACTCCTGAGCACTGCAGTTTTTATTGAAGGATATGTTACTGTTGGGTGCCCGAGTCAGCTCCAATCATTAACGACTCCATGTATAATACAACAGCGTGGCAGAAGAAAAGTTTCTTACACTTTCGGGAAACTACGCCCCTGCCCCTTTAAAAACAAAGCAAACTCTAGTGGTAAGATGCTGTGCTGCAATTCCAAAGGCAGTTCAAGGTCACCAACGGCTCTTCAGGAGAATGATGGGCAATCTCCTTCTGTGCAATTAACTGCCTCTGAAAACCTGCCAGTCAGACAGCTATGGGTCAGTTCCCACTCTACAGTATACAACATTATCAACAACATTCTTAATTAAGAAATAGAAGAATTAGTGCAGTTTTGCTTTATAGGTTTTTGAGGCAATTAATTATTAGCTAAATTCCTCTTTTCTACATAGTTTAAATTCCGATATTTCAAGAAAGGAGATTGAAATACAAGAATTACATACCAAATATCTAGGAAAAGAATGAATAGATAATGAACACTGAATTGGAACAGACGAAGGAAAAAACTATTTAAAAAGAATATATAATTGGACATTATATGTATGACAACAGTACAGAATAAAAGGTGCATTGCAACGTGGACTGGGGAAGGGGGAAGAAATGGGGGAGGGAAAAATTGTGCAACAGTGAATGAATATTGAAAAGAAAGTGAACTATGGAAGGGAGAGGGAGGGGTAAGGGAGGAAGATAGAAGGGAGAAGGGAGAGGAAGGAAGGGGGAAGAAGGAAATTGTGCCAAAAATGAATGAAAATCCAACTTTTCTGTAAACTTTCATCAGAATCACAATTTTAAAAAATGCTCTGATAATATGTATAGTTCACTGAAGCTACATGAAAATCTAAAACACATGACACATTTTCATCGTAATTATCATTTTAGGATTATTAAATGCTAAATAACTTTTTAAAAGAATTATAAACAAGTTCTAACTGTAACAAAATAACTCAGGCAGAAATTGTGATACAAATAATACTTTCCCTTACCTGTTTTCCTTTTCTTCAATGAACTCGTGGTCATTGAGTTCTGGGTACTGAACTACGTTGACACGGACAGGATGCGCACAAACAATACTTTCCCTTACCTGTTTTCCTTTTCTTCAATGAACTCGTGGTCATTGAGTTCTGGGTACTGAACTACGTTGACACGGACAGGATGCGCACTTTGAAGAAGTCTTCGCACATCTTGAACTCTTAAATCTTCACTCCAGATTAAGGACATAACCTCCTGGTTCATGTCATTCATGCCATCATCCTCCTCCTCAGTTTCTGTTCCTGAAGGAACATCTGATGAAAGCACCTAAATAACAGAATTTATTGCAATAATAATTTCAAAACCAGTCAATATGCACTTATAAACATGAGGCTACATGGAATAATGTGCCATGATTTATACTGGCATAGGCAAAACATGTACTTTAGAAGAAAATGTATACCTACTAACTTAGACAATATACATGAATAAATTAAAAATAATTTAGTAAATACAGAAAATATCAAGGAAAATAAACTAAAAATGATGAAAGTGAAAAATACAAAATCAGATAAAAGAATTATTTAGCAATGGAATATATTTAATCCAGATATGAAATCAGTGAGTTTGAAGACAATTCAACAGAAATTACCCAAACTGAAATAAAAAGATAAATATAAAAAATGGGGAGAAAAAAAAGAAACAAAAAATCCATGGGCTGAAGGACCACATTAAATAGTCAACAAATACGTATAATTGTAGTCTAAGAAAGAAAAGTGAAAAATCAAACCCCAAAACTTCCTGCCATCCAGTCCACTGTACCTCACAATGACCCTCCAACCAAGGAGACTGTGCCGTAGCCGGCGGATTTGAATAGCTGACTTTTCAGTTAAGTGCCTAACAACACAGTACACATTACTCCACAAGTAAAATAAGTCAGAAAAAATACTTTCAAGAATTCTCCAAAATTAGTGGCAGACACTAAATCACAGATCCAAGAAATAAAAAAGAAAGAACTCTAAATTGTAGAGCATCTCGGTCAGATAACTTTAGAAATTAACTAAATGGAAATTCATTTCAATTTTAAATCAGGAGGAATTAAGAAATGTACAAGACAATATAATCTCTCATGATCATTCTTTAGTTTTATTCTTAGCATAATTTATGTCACATCACACACAGAAAGGGTGCAAAAAGGGTAGAGTAAGTTGGGACACAGCACCACGGCTCAGTATTATGTTCTCAGAGCTGTAAGAAGCAGCAGTCAGTTCAGTTAGAACAAACCACAAATATCTCCAAAACTGGGCTGCGCTGGGGACCAAGACAAACTGTGGTCCTTAACGGGGAAATCTTTCTTTAAAACAACAATATTCCCCACATACAAGTATTCCTTAAGTGAATGAGAAAACTTTAAATGTAGGATAATAGTCAGCAAGGTGTCTGTATTGAGGAAAAAAAACAAACAAACTGTAGAATTGTAAGTTCATTCTAAAATTTCTGTCAAGGAAATAAAGCACTGCAAATGAATGACAGACCCCACTCAATATTAGAAAGAAGCCACACTAAACAAAGTACTTTCAGGTGATTCCTTTGAGCATAAGAAAAATTACCTGCAAGGATATAGATCAAGCAGCCGAAGAAAAATGGATAATAATTTCTTATTTTATATAGAACAAAACTGATCATGGTTGCTTTTTACTTTATGAAAATACGTTCCGTGTTGGGGTTTTGGTGTTTTTTTTTTTTTAAAAAAAAAATTTCAGTCAAATGGGTGAGAAAAGTGAATTCCATAACTGCCATTCTTTTAAGTGAGAGATTTCATTCCAAATCATTCAGACATCTTAACTACATGGAATCTCTTTTCACTCTAGAAAGCTTCATACTCTTTTAACCAAAAGGTCATTCCTACTTGAAATAGTAAAGTTTTGAACCACTTAACATGAAAGCAACCATTTTAGACTGAAAATAATATTAAAAGACTGATGACAATAGCAAATAATCAGTCTTACTTCATAAAATCTTATGTTTTCTATAGAATATATGATTTTGAAAGAAGCTATATTGTAATGAGTGAGGTAAAAAAACATAGGTCCAAAGACCTAACAAGTTGAATTTAGTTAAAATTAGTTATATAGAGTAGCTTCAAATAACTGAATAAATTTAATTTATATGTTGTTACTGTTAGATGCATAGGAAGCAACTGAAAATACCATGACTTGGATTAGGCACACATTTGTCCTTAAACTGGCATCACTGCTCTATAGCACATTGGAGAGGTTCCTGACAGCAGATTTTTCCAATGCAACATGTCTTTTTTATTTGATTGCTTTTACCATGGGTGATGATTCTGGATCGAAACAAAATTAAAATGTTGACAACTTCAATCTTTTCTTCATGTATCATGTTTCCTATCGGTCTAGTGGTGAGGATTTTTGTCTTCCTGATGCTGAGATGCAACTATAGTAAAGGCTATAGTTTTTCAACTAATGCAGTAAGTACTTTAAGTCTTGCTTACTTTCTGCAAGCAAGGTTATGCCATCTACATAATTCAGGTTGTTGGTGATTGTTCCTCCAATTCTGATGGCACATTCTTCTTCCTATAATCCAGCTTCTTGAATGATTTGCTCAGCTTACAGACTATATATAGGGAAAGGATATAACCCTGACACACACCTCTCCTGATTTTTTTTTATTATTAAATTTTATTAGTTTTCATGAACATCTACAGAGATTTTGGGTTTTCATTCATTCATTGTTGCACCATTCTCTCTACCCTCTCCTCCCCAGTTTGTTCTTCTTTTTCCCCCACTTGAAAGTCTGTTTTAATTGTCCAATTGCCACAGTGCTTGTCAAAGCCAGTTCTGATTAATCTCCTTTGTCAGTCTGTCCTTTGCCATTCCC